TTATTTACAATAAAATATAAGAACATAAAATATAAATAAATAAAACTTTACATCTGGTGACTTGAGCCATCTTGATGGCGAGTGATGGTCCCTTACTCAGTTCCCAACCTGACCCACAGCACCGTGAACGAAGGGACTACTGAAGAAATTCCCTACAATGAAGTCACAAGAAACTACAGTAAATCTTCTTCCTGGGCTTAGGCAGAGGGATCTCCAGCCATTTACCACAGTTACTGTGCACTTGCTTCAAGGACACTTGCTCCAAGCCAGAGCTCAAGAAGCTTTTCCTGGAAAGGGCCGGATCATAGATATCTGAGGCTTTGCAAGCCTGTTGGGCTCCAGTGGAGCTACTCCAGTCCGCTGTGGTGGAAGAAAAGCTGCCATAGACGCAGCAAGGCTGTGTTCCAATAAAACTTTATGTATGGACAAGGACGTCTGAGTTGCAAATGATTTTCAGGTGTCAGGAAATAGTATTCTGCTTTTGACTTTTTTCAGCCATTCAAATATGTAAAAACCATTCTTAGCTTGCGGACCATCCAAAAGGAGGCTGCGGGCCAGGTTAGGCCCATGGGCCATAGTTCATCAGTCTCTGCTCGAGCCAAGCTAATGGAATCACTAGGCCCCCAAAACAGCGCTGAGTGGAAGCTCAGCAAAATGAGGTGGCAGCCATTCCTAGGGTCTTCTGGCAAGCATCCCAAAAGCTGGTGCTTTTTAACACAGTGGTTGTCAGACTTGGGTGCACGCTGCAACCACATGAAGAGTTTTAAAAATGTGGTTGCCTGGGGCTGCCCCCAATTCCGCTTTGGTGGTTGTGGCTGTAGCCTGGTGCTACTGATTTTTCCCATCTCCCCAAGTGGCTTTAGTGTGTAAACAAGGTTGAGAACTACCTGAACAACTTAAATGATGAGAGTGCAAGTGTTGTACAATATTTAATTTTAAAATCTTATAATTGTGGTTTTGCAATAATAATATTCTAATAATAAATACATACAACATTCCAATAACAATCACTATGTAGCTATGCTGAAAGTATGAAATAAGAATTCCCGTGTAAGAAATGGGGAAGACTCTCTTAGGTAAGGAAAAAAAAAGGAATTGGGACAACACAGTGGCAAGGCAGAGGCCACCAGTGTTAGGGCCAGGGAGGAAGCTCAGCCAGCAGCGAGGCCAGAGCAAGGTGTAGAGTCAAGCCAAGCCCCAGCGAGCCCAGGGCTGACTCAGCAGTGAAGCCTCCTCCGTAGGAGACAGTGAGAACCCAGGCTGAGCACAGAAGGGACGGAAGAAACTCAGCAAATGCAGTGATTTGTACTGAGGGAAGAGAAGAAACAGAGAAAGCTGCAAAAGACCTTAAGATAATATTTCCTCAGAGAGATAAAGGAGTGATGAAGGAAGAAATTATATCCATTATATAAGAACAGAAGACTGACCAGGAAGATGGCTGCTTGAACACAAGGATCTGCTTTCACCTCCTCCTGAAAGTTCGTTAAAACAATATTAGGGGTAAGCAAATCAATACAGTGGGATATTACTCAGCAATAAAAAGGCAAGAACGTGGATGGATCTCAAAAAAACTTATGTTGAGTCAAAGCAGCCAGACACAAAGGAGTACAGGATGTATGATTCCATTTATGTGAAATCATGGAACAGGAAAAACTAATATAGAGAGACTGAAAGCAGATGAAGGTTTGCCCGGGGACAGAAGATGAAGAGGAGTTAAACTGGGCGCCTTCTGGGGTGTGGCACGTCTTCTATATCTTCATTAAGGGGGTGGTTAGCCCTGATCCCTGATTTTTACGAGTAAGGAACCAGGGACCAGGAGAAGGTGGGTGAATCGTCTAAAGCGATGCAGCTTAGTAAGCAGCAAGAAGATGCTCACATCTGCTTATCAGTGATAAGTTCTTCCTGTTATGCCGCGTAAGGAGACAGTAGGAGTAGTGCTTCCCTCGAGCACCTGGCAAAACCCCGACCCAGGCACAAGCATCCTCTTCTGCACGTAAAGCATAGATAGGAGAGCCAAAATACTACGCATTTCAGCCACCCATACATAGACACAGTTGATATTCTCACGTGTCCCTTTACCTTGGCTTCTTTATGTTTATATTTACACGTAGGGACATAAACATTCATTAACATCCTCTTCTGAGGAGCCATACTGTAATATACAGGTTTTACCCTGGCTTTTTTTCTTTCACGTTGTATCATGTGATGTGAGGAATATTCCGTGTTGTTTTTTGTAATCTGCCACTTAAGCTGCGACCGTTTCTTGATTAATAATGCTTCTGTTTTAAAGGTTAAAAGTTTGGAAATGGGAACTTAAGCCCCCCACTTAATCCTGCCATATGCCTGTTTTGGTGTCTGATCTTTCAATTTTGGTTCCCTTAAACAAGATGTCAGATTATTTCCTACCGGGGATGCCGTGGTTTAGCATCGCCACTTTATAACGTAGGTTACTAGCTGACACTGCGGCCTGCCCCCATACACCCATCTGTCTTCCTTCTCATAACAACAGAATGTACAACTAACACACGTTCATCCCTTACTAAACACCAGACGTTGCGCAAGGTACCTGACTTAGTAATAGCTAACTTGTTTGTAGTGCTTATTAGGTCACAGGCATTTCTCCGGGGGTTTTCTGTGTATTTCCAAATATTAACTCAGTTAATTCTCACAATTGCCTCACGAGGTAGAAACTCTTTACTACCTTCAATTTAAGGGGGGGGGGGTGAAAAAAAACTTGAGTCACTGTGAGGTCAAAGTTACTTGCCCTGGACCATGTAATTTAGCAGCAGGATCAAACCCTGGTTGATCTGACCTCAAATCCTATGCCCATAACCAATAATGTGTGGCTCTGTGTTAAGGCTGAAATGAGCACTGGGATGGGCCTCACTCAAAGTCCGGTGGGCACTGATGGGTGTGCCATCTGAGACCAAGTTGCACTGAACTCTAGCCTTCTGTCTAAGAGACCCATCGTTGCAGCTGTTCCCCTTACTGTCTCCCCTTTCTCAGACTCTGTGGGAACTGTTTCTCCAGTGTTCGCCGTGAAGGAACAGAGACAGACAAGATCTACTACATGGACACAGAGGAAGGTTTCTAGAGGCGTGCATATTGCCAGGATGAACTCAGTTCCTCAGAGGCTTTTTCCATTTGTGTTTCGTTCTCTTCCCAAGGCTCATCCTCATCTTTCTGACCTTACATCCTTCCCTTGGCCTTTTCACTCTATATGTCAGGTACTCACGTCCCTTCTTTCCCATCTATCCCTGATTCCAAGGACAATCATTTCTACCCCTCTGTGACAATATCAGCCACTCTCCGGTCCCCTCATCCTTCTGTGCCAAAGAGCCTGTACAGCACAGCCATGTGGCTGTAGGCATATATTTAGGCAGGGAATATTTTGTATGGTAAATGTAAAAAGTGAAACGTCTGGGTCACGAAGCGTAAGAATGGCTGGTGAATAGTTTAACCATACAGTAGGAAATTAGGCTCTCAAATACTGTTAGTAGAAATGCATATTGGTGTAAATATCATCAAATATCCTTAAGAAACTATCTCTTACATTTAAAAATATGGATGCACTTCTTCTGGGAAGCTGTAGACCAGGGACTCAGATACTGGACCTGCCCTGCAGCCCAAGCTGTGCTCCACTGGGTCTTTTGGTCTCCACCACTGGGGACGCTGTGTAACCCCGGTCAACCTATGGGTATTGTTCCGTTAATTGTTTTGTACTGAGAACTCTATTTTGTAATTTTAAAAAAATCAATTCAACTATTCAAACACCAATTTTATTTTAAAAATGGATTAAAAAGCATATTAAGGCCAAGAAGCATATATAATGGTCATATGTAATACAGGAGGATCCAGAAAATGTAGAGTCAGATCCAGTTTTGTGTGGCACTGCTTTTACGCCATGCACACACACACACTCTTCCCCTCCTCTGAGACGGTGGCTGTCCTTACTGTCTGTCACAAAGCTGAGCACTTAGAGACACGCCTGCAGGTCCAGACCTTTCTTCCTACACACACCAGACATGCAGGAAGCCATGTCTGCTGGATTCAAGGAAGGCTTCTCCTCGTTTCTGTCACCACTGTTTGCAAAAGCCTCCCTTCCTGAGATCGGAAAACCTGTAGTTTTAGCATTAGTCGACAGGGAAGTACGCAACTCTATTTCCAACTGGACGCTAACGAGAGATATTAAGTTTGCAAAAGGAAAATTCAACACATGCTGGTTTTACAAGCAGGTTATAAAACAGTTCTGCAGCCCAAATTTTTCTGGAATACATAGATGTGGGTAGAAATGGTTGAGTGGTATGCATTCTCAAAAGTGGCTTTGTTGATGATCCCAGGTCTACCTTACATACGTTCACTTAACAAATATTAATTAGACCCTTATTATATGCCAGCCGCTGCCAGCCCAAAGGGACTCGTAATCTGCAAACCCTGTGATCCAAACAGATTTCTGCATCTAATTCAAGACAGATATTCCACTTGATCCAAGACACCTGGGCCCACCCAAACTAGCCTAGCTTCCAGTGACAAAACATCATCCCGGTCTTACAGAAATCTGTCCGTGGGACCTGAAAGTTCACCATTAGAGGAGAACCCGTGCAGTAGCTGGAGGAACACTTAGGATGTGGAGGCAGATCAATAGGTGAGGACACAATTCCTGTCCTGCCACCTACTTGGCTGAGAAATCCTGGGAAATGTACCTAACTCCTGTGAGCCTAATATCCCTGATCTGAAAAGGGACCATGGATAAAGTGGTCAAGGGTTTCTGCGTGTGAGGAGGTCAAAGAAATCTAGTGAGTCTGCCCAACACGGAGCAACTGTTGGTTGCTGGTGGGCAAGTGTTGGCTTCCTTGTCACCACATCCTTTCCCTACCACAGCAGAGTGCCGTTGCCCTGTACTCAACGACATAGCAATGATGTCGGGGAATGCCGAAATGACACAGGAAGTAGCCGTCTGAACACACAGGGTGTCATAAAGGATATTCATGACTATTTCCTTGTGGGAGGATCAGCTACTATATGGTAGAGCCTGAGGGAGAACCCAGGCAGCCTGGGTGGCAGGCACTAGGTGCTTTATAATACTCCTGTTATCACCTTTGATTCTGGCAGAACAACTGTGAGACAGGGATTGTGCTGAGATGCAAACGTTCAGTAAGTGGATGTCTGTGTGTGTGTGGGGGGTGGGGGGACGGTGGTCCCTCTCTGGCTTCTTATCACGTGCCCACTCTTCTGTGAGATTCCCAAAACAAGGCCATGCCTGAGATTGCTCGTGTCTGAATCACCTGGATGAGGGAGGGGTCTCGCCCTGTTTAGGCACCAGACCTGGTCAGTCTGGGGATTGCTGTAGCTGTTAGCTGGCTCACTTGGACACTTTCCCCTCCGCGATGGTATTTCTGAAGTAATGTTAGTTCTCGAAAATGATTCTGACTCTTGTTATATGCCATATGTTGACCGCATGCCCTTACTCCTCCCTTTAATATTTGATTTCTTCCTTTCATTGGTGGATTTTCAGGAAAACGAGTTGGTTGCCTGGCGTTGTCCAAAGGTCCCCGATAGTGTTTCTCTTGGTGGTTGTTATTGTGGTTTACTATGATTATGAAGTCATGGCTTTTTAACATGTTGATGGGCTTCAAACCATTGTTATATGGTTTTGAGCAGAGGAGTGAAATGACTTGCCTCATGCTCTGCTGCTGGGTTGAAAACAGACGGTGACAGAGCAAGGATGAAAGCAGAGGGACCAGTTGGTAGGTGCTATAATCCAGGAGATAGGTGTTGGTGTCTTGGCTAGGGTGGGAGTAATGGAGGTGGGGAGAAGCAGCTAGGTTCGGGATATACTTTGAGAGGGGGGCCAAGAGAATTTCCTGATCAGTTGGATGTGGAGTATGAGAGAAAGAGAACACTCCAGGGTGCCTCCAAGTTTTGGGGACTGAGCAAGTGGCATTTCTGGCTCAAATGCTCGATTCATGTCTAATTTCACTTCCAGTGCCACACAGGCAATGTCCCAAAGGTTGTGAGCAGCAGGAGGGTCCTGACAGCGGGCCACACAATGAAAGCAATGACTTCTCAGAGGAGTTCATCTGAGGCTGGTCCTAATCACTACATCGTGGAGTGATCAGCATTGAACGAACTTTTACTCATAAGTGTGCCCTCAGCCAACATGGAGTAATTAATTTATAAAGTGTACAGCACACAAACCTAGAAAACCTTAACTATTAGAACCCAAAAGGAAGCTGGTTTCTAACAGCCTAATTACCTGAGTAATCCTCCCTCCCCTCAAACCACTAGGATTATTATCTGCTGGTACACTGTTTGACTTGAATGTGGTAAAAATAAAATACCTTTAGTGAATCCACCTACAGGAGATAGAACTGAGACTATCTTATTTCTGTAGATGCCCAGAAAAACTTCCAAATCTCTCCATATGGTGAATTACAAATGTTGGTGGGGAGTGTTTGGGTGGGAGGGGTGAACAGCAACACAAATCCTAGGAGTGAATACAGGCTGAAATATAACCAAGACACTTTACAAGCACACCTGTGGCTACAATACCCAATAAAGTAGACATCAGAGCAAAGAAATTAATAAGAGACAAACAGAGGCACTACATAATGATAAAAGGATCAATCCACCAGGGAGACATAACAACCCTAAAAGTATATGTACCAAACAACAGAGCCTCAAAGTACACAAAGCAAACTCTGATGGAGCCGAAAGGAGAAACAGCCATGTCCATAATTATAATTGGGGCCATCAAACCCCCCTTATGAGCAGGTGATAGAATTACTAGAGAGCAAACCAGCAAGGATTTAGGAGATCTGAATAACACAATAAACTAACAGGATCTACATGATGTAAATAGAACACCCAACAACAGCAGACTACAATGTTTTTTCAAGCGTCTATGTAACATTTACCAAGATAGACCATCTCCCGGGCCATCAAACAAATCTCAGCAAATTTAAGAAGAATTGAAACCATACAGAGTATTTCTCTGACCATAATGGAATCAAATTAGAAACCAAGAGTAGAAAGAGAAAGGGAGAATGCCTGAACCCTCGGATATGGTAGTTGATACATCATTCCAGTTGGTCATTCAGACGCCTGTTGTAGAAGAGCGAAGTTAGAAAGAGCTGTCTCCTGAGCAGAAAGGCATGTCAGGCTAGGCAAAGAGAAAGCTCACTCTGGATATTTCAACAGGGTGTTGTTGAGAGCTAGGCTGGAGGCTGTTACATCAGTCCCACCTGACGTTAAAGCTTGTACTACACCGGCAGAGGAAGTACAGCTTGCTGATTGTTAGTGGAATCAGTTTGGTGGCCGATTGGCTTTGGGAAGTGAGAGAGGTTCCCTCCCAGGTACTGGTGTGGTTGCTAGAGAGGCCTGAGAGAAGGCAAGATTCAGATACCTTTCTAGTGTATGCTGGTGTCCCATCTAACCCATGGACGCACACGCCTCTGCTCTTTATAAACCCTGCTGCATTTTTTAAGAGATTCAACACAGTTTCCCCCTCCCGCTCCTCCTGCTCCTCCTCTCTAACATATCTTCCCTGATAGTGCCCTCTGTCAGATAAGGCTCTCCTGTCTGCGCAGGCAGAGGAGTTTCCTTTCTGGAGTTTGTGGGATTGGTCCCTTAGGGCAGGTTGGCACCTTGCTTGCCCTACCATGGTGTTAGCTCAAGACGTAGTAGATGGTAAATGGACCACTGATGTGTCTTCAAACTTGTATTGTTGTTCCCCTTTCCAGAATACAATGATAGTGGCAGCTTACCTCGAGGAAGAAATAGAAATTGGAGTTCTTTCCGAGGTAATTTTGGCAAAAGGAACCCTCGTGATCACGGTGGATATGAACCTTGGCCTTCACACCACCAGGAGCATGATGGAAACATGGTGATGAGGGATGTCCAGGAGGACCCCCAAGTAAGACGGTAAGTGACCAGGCAGCCTGGTTTGCATGTAGCAGCTCCTGGGACTATGCAGCTGTTTCACTCTCCATGGTGATTTCCTTCTCTCACTGGAAAACTGGAGAATACTGGGAGTGGAATAATGGTTGAGCAATCCTAATTGTAGTCCTGCTGTCAGAGAGGCAAAGGTGTATAGAAGACTTTCTTAGCATTGATGGCCACTCCCCTTCTCTGCACTTCCCCCCGCAGCACGCCCTACACTACTCGACACAAAAACAGAAGAGTGAAATGGCATAATGAAGACCATATCCAGAGGGCTGCGTGGAGAAACAGAAAACCTTTGGAGAGAGAAGTGGGGGATAACACAAAAGATGGAACCCCAGGGAGCTGGTTCAAGATCACAGTGAGTGTCCTACAAAACTGTAGGCAATGTACAGGAGAGAAAGGAGAAAGGTCGGGGTTTCGGGGGTTGTGTTGGGCTCATGTAGAGACACTAAGTACTTTGCTGGGGACAGCTTGTAATCTGTCCTTTTTATTACAAGGAGTTAACCTTGTTCATCTAAGGGAAAATTCAAAGAAGCCATATAAAAGGAACAGGCTGACTGTAGGGAGAACAGAGGAGCCTGTCTAAAGGCAAAGATGGAAACTACTGGGGTGCTGGCCCCGTGGCTGTGTGGTTAAGTTCGCGCGCTCTGCTGCAGGCGGCCCAGTGTTTCGTTGGTTCGAATCCTGGGCGCGGACATGGCACTGCTCATCAGACCACGCTGAGGCAGCGTCCCACATGCCACAACTAGAAGAACCCACAACGAAGAATGCACAACTATGTACCGGGGGGCTTTGGGGAGAAAAAGGAAAAAAATAAAATCTTTAAAAAAAAAAAAAAAAAAAAAAAAAGATGGAAACTACTGTCACAAAGGTGCAGCAGCTCCACACTGGATGTCTCAGTTTGGCTGAAGCTGAGTGTGGAGGATGGGGGTCGAGTCTCTGGAGACATTGTCTGAGGTGCGAGCAGGGTCTGCCCTAGGGAGGATCTCCTGGAACTTTACCAAAAGAAGACCATGCCTACCACTTTAAGTTGATTGTTTGGAGGAGAGCTTTGGATAGAGAGAAAAGGAATGTAGGAAATCTATATTTGGCACAAACGTAAGAAATCATGCCAGTCGTCCCTTCTTTTGAAATCCTTTGAAGCGCAATAGAAGGTTGGAAAAGAACACTGCTGGGTCTGTTCTCCAGGCTTGATTCCATGTTGTCTCTCTTCTCTCCAACCCTTTTCACCCCCAGATTCCATATGGGAGAAAGTATGACAAGACATGGCTAATGAATTCAATCCAGAGCCATTGCAGTGTCCCCTTCACTCCAGTGGATGTAAGAGACGATGGCGAAGTCAGATGAGTGGGCACAGGAAAGGGGGAGAGCCCTGGCTCGGCAGGGGCCATGGCCTCTGACACTATTGCTGTTGCCTTCAATCCCTGTAGTTCCACTACGTGAAAGACTGGGCTCGGTTCTTTGTGCAGGATGCTGGCCCTGCCTCTGCCTTGAGGGATGTGAGCTACAAGATTTGTGGCAAGGAGAACCAAAAGGTGTCTGTTGAGGGCCGTACCTGTACCCAGTCCCGGGGGAGGAGGACAGGCCAAGGGCCCGTGGTCGTCTTTGGAATTAAAGTTCATGGTGCTTACTCCACCTCGCCTTCCTGCAGATATCTATCATTGTTGATCCTTCTGCTGAACCCTACTCTGTGCAGAATAAGTTGGAACCAGAAGAAATGGAGCAGCTAAAGGTAATGCAGATTCAAGGTACATTGTATGCCCACACCCAGACCCACCTCTTCTTCCCCCAGCCCCTGATTTCCCTATCACCACCACAGCCTCAGAGCCTCTCTCTCCATCTCTCCCTGCAGCTGGCCATGAGCAAACGATATGATGTCTCCCAGCAAGCTCTTGACCTTCCAAACGCTCCGCTTTGACCCAGGTATGCCTGACAGCAGTAATTCTGAGGCAGGTGAGGACAGAAAGATCTGCCTGGGAGGGAGACTTAGAGATGGTGACGTGGGGAGGGGTTGGTGCTGGCCCTGGACCCATCTCCACCTTCTCATTCTCTCTTCTTGGCTTTCTGAAGACTTGGTGGACCATGATATTGATATAATCCTGAATCGAAGAAGCTGCATGGCTGCCACCCTGCAGATCATCGAAACGAATTTCCCCAAGGTGAGGCCTTAGGCCTAGCGCTGGTATTATGATGGGGGTGGAACAGATGGGATGGAGGACAGACTTGTCTCCCAGGCCCCAGATGTCACCATCACTCTAACTCTTCTTCCTCAAAAGCTGTTGTCCTTGAACTTGTGCAACAACAAACTGTACCAGCTGGATGGCCTGTCTGACATTATACAGAAGGCCCCGACAATCAAGATCCTGAACCTCTCCAAAAATGAGGTGGGAAGAGGGAGCCAACCAAAGTTGGTTGAGAGTAGGTGGTGGTGCTCATCAGAGTGATGACAGGAGGCAGGTGAAGGTGCCTGTGGGAGAGGGTGGGGGCTGGGAGTGCAGGGGCCCAGATGTCTGTCTTTCCTTGGGACTCCTTTTCCAGTTTCCTCCCCATGTTCCTCAGCTGAATTCCGCGTGGGAGGTGGGCAAGATGAAAGGGCTGAAACTTGAAGAGCTGTGGCTGGAAGGCAACCCCTTGTGTGACACCTTTCGAGACCAGTCCACCTACATAAGGTCGGTGTGAACCCCTGTCACCCTTATTGGGGACTTTCACGCACGGGAGCCTGAACGACCCCTGACAATGCCCCTCTGCAGAGGTGGTGGGCCTGGTCCTCTGGGAGGACCACAGGCCCTGCCATCTCTTTTCTGTGTCCCTCATCATTGCTTAGAGGGCTCTTTCCTTCCTCTGACCAGCTCACCTCTTCAGGTGCTCTGGGCTCTGTTTCAGAGTCTGCACCTGCTTGCTCTAGCATGCTCTCCCAAGAGTGTGTTCCAGGCGGCAGGGCTCCCCTACTTGCCAGGACCAGGATCACCAGCCTTGAGCCAGATGCTGGTGACCTGGACTGAGAGGGCCCTCTGGACCAAGGTCTCATGCTGAGACAGGGCTTCTTGCTTTGAGCCAATAGGAGTTCCCTCTCCTGCCCTGAGAAGGATCCTTTTTCCCTTGTTCAAATGGGTCTCCCTCCATCCCAGGTGCCATGGACTTTCCTACCCCATGCTGAGGTCCAGGCCCCAGGTTGCTGTCTCATGACATCTGTTCTCTGGCCAATGCCAAGAGCTGGGCACTCCTTGGGAGAAAGCTGGGTTCCCTGAGTCAAGGGCCAGAAGTGGGCACCGCCACTGAGAGGGCTTCCTGAGGCAGAGTGAAAGGCAGAGGGCAGAGGTGGCTGAGGAGACAGAAGGAAAGGCCTCTCGGGGCACTGCCCCTCCCTCCATGCACATGTCACATCATCCTGCCTGGTCCTTCCTTGAAGAACTGGGGGTCACACAAGAAGGCTGTGATTCCTCAGACAAGGACTTGACTAAGACAGGCACAGGTGCACAGGGGCCATCAGGAGAGAAGGTGGTGATCATAAGAGGGGGCCATAGGCCTGCACCCCATGGTGAGCTGGGACCTGACCCTTTACTCCTTCTGGGGAAGGCCTCCTGCCCCCGTGGCTCCTCCATTTCCCATTCCCAGCTCAGACTGAGCTCACACAAGTGGCAAAGTGTCAACCAGCATCCAGTGGGTCCCCGGCCCAACAAGTGCATGTTTTCCACTCCTACCTCGGGTCCAGGGCCAGCCAGGGCAGATGAAGGAAAGGGCTGCAGCAGGGGAGCCATCACCCCTTTCTTCTCTCTTCTTCCCTGATCCCCACCACCAGGGCAGAGCTTCTTTCTATTCCCTTTGCTTTGCTTTCTCTCTCTCCTTTGTCTCTACTCCCCTGTGTCTCTCTCATCTCTCTCTCCTACCTTCACTCCCTCTCTGTTCTCATCCCCTCCCCTACCCTCCCTGCCTCCTGAGCCTGGCCTCACTCACTTCCTTGCCTCAGCATCATGGGCCATCCCTGGAGGTGTCCTGGTCCCGGCAGAATGCTGGACACCCAGTGAGGTAGCAGAGCCCTGCGCTCCCACCCCATTCCCTCTCCTCTCTGCAGCCTTTGGTGGGGTCTTGGAGGAAGGAAGGGGGGCAGGGAGGGGAAGGAAGCCCTGGACCTGGGCTCCAAATGCTATATTGTGCATGGGGAGGACTGAGAGCAGTGTAGGTGAGAGCCACCCAGGGGGAAGGAGAAGGAGGGAGGGAAGCCAGGAGGAAGGGAAAGCAGGAGGGAGGGAATACGAATGTGAAGGTGTGGAGTGAGATCTAGAGACTGCGCCTTTCAGACAGTCCATATGACAGATGCTCAGTGCTCAGCGGGGAAGTGGCCCCAATAGCCTTGAAATCAGAGGCTGAGTTGGGCAAAGGGGGCTTCTGGACGGGCAGAAGACACTGGGCTGTGTTTATGGTATCAGTATTTTAAATCAAAGGAAGTGCTGCAGCCCCGAACTATCAACCACTTCTTTCTATTTTCAGTTTTGGACAGTGCCATCAAGGAATATTTCCCCAAGCTGTTACGCCTGGTAAGTGCCTACATTTGTGATTGTCTCTCACTCACATTGATGGCCTCCACATCTGCCCCCAAGCCCTTTGGGGCTCGCCTAGGTTATATGTTTGCATGAGACCTTTATCCATTTTAAGGGACAGGGACTCCTGAGAAAGACATGGATATATTTGGTGGGAAAACGCCCATGCTAACGCCCACACACACAAAAGTTGCGTTTAATAGTAGAGACTTCCAAGACCTCATGATGAAGACGCCCACTGTAGTCTTGCCCATGGATTTT